CAGGTTATGTTTACATCCGGTGTCGCTTAGGAACGCTTAGCTAGTAGCACATCATTATGGAGTTCACCCAGTCCCTTTCACATCTGCCACCAATACGACTTAACGACGTAGAACGACTTGCTGACAAGTGGTCCCTTACTTCAAGATCGAAGCTTGATAAAGGCTACAAGTTCTTCGTTGAAGGTTACCTGTTTGATTATGAAGGTACGTGTTTATCTTTATTTAGCTTAAATTAGCCCTATGCTAGCGAAGGTTATGAGCTGACGAGTTTCTGTTTTGCAGCCTCTTTTTAATATTACTACTGTTTGTATCGACCGTAAGATAAGAGTCAGTAATGTATTAATGGCTAATGCTGCGCCCTTTCTCCCAATCACTGTATTGAAACAGTCTCAAGTGTAGTTAACGGTGAGGTGACAGTGAGAGGGCGATGTTACAGGTCCATGAAGAAAAATGAGGAGGCTCATCGGCTTCAGGTTTCTCAGATAAACAGTTCTCTAACATTATGATAAGATAGGTTAAGATAGATAAGTTTTCTTTTTGTTGTGTTTTGCTGCGGTTGCAGATTTAATAAGAATGATTCCACAAAGTTCCACTGTGGATCAGTTTGTTTCTCAGTCTGAGCTCTGATTTTGTATCATTAAACTTAATACACAACGAAATTCTTACAAACCGATGTGGGTTGTTGACGGCAATAAAGACTGGGAAAGATTCTGTGATAACTCAAAATGTTCAAATTTTCGATAAGTGTTGGCACTACTTGTCAAAGGTTTCAGAACAGCCAATTTTTCTTAATTAAAAAAAGAAATTGGGTTTTGAAAATTGTGTACAGTAGTTTATAATGAAACGCAGAAAAAATGTTTTGTAAGTACAGCACTAATTGTTATGTCTCTATGAACAGGTTACACTAGACTCTGCAGAGGTTCCTGTGGTACTCAATCACATGTCATGTTCCTGCTCTGCTGGGAAAGCACTATGTAATCACATAGTAGCACTTCTTTTTCAAAGTGCTCACTATGTTACCATGGGCTTTAAGACAGTGCCATTGCCTCTGTCATGCACCAGCGCACTGCAGACCTGGCACCGGCCTAGGACACAGGTCAGATATTATTTGTTACACTGATGCAGAACTTTGCAGTTTGTATTGACTTTTGACAATGTATTGTTCATCATTATTATATCACAGGGAATTGTACCAGAGGCCACCAATGATATGGCGGTGTGTAAACCAGCGGCTAAGAAAAAAACAAGTGTCAGAGCTGGTGTGAAGTGCACACTGTACCGAGCCTATGATGGTGAGTCTGAATGAGCCCCCGCCTGTACTAGAGCACAAAGACTTTAGTGCATTTCTAAAATAATACAAACATAAAAGTGATTATTATTTGTTACTTTTTATATAGACTTTCAGTGGATATTTTTTTATTTGTATTAGAAGCATGTACGAGACTGGATGAGTGTGGTTGTCTTTTTTAGTGAAAAAGATAAGGTGGCATTTAATGAAATCTAAACTTGACATATCTCACTTTCATGCCAGGGCCTATTCCGGATCCTCACGTCATGGCCAGTGCTGAGAAACTGAAAGACATCCGTCCACAACCAGGGATTTGCAAATTGCTGCACGGGCTTGAGGGCCTTAATTTGGTGGACTCTAAATTTGGCCCTGTGCCATTTGGGTCTGTGCTTTCTTACCAGTGCCCTCTAGAATTAAGTAGAGATATTATTAAACACCCTGGTGCCAGTGAGTTTCCTCAGTTGCCTATTGAAGGTTACAACTTTAAATTTCCCATTGATTTTGAGCCCAACTACATACAACAATGTCATTTGGACAGCCTGATTGTGTCAGAGGAGATGTCTGCTGCTATTGAAGCAGAAACAAGAATGCAGTCAGAATGCCAGCTGTGGAGCCAGGTACGCAAACCCCGACTGACAGCCAGCAGATTCCGTGAAATATGCCATGTTCGTGGGGAGTTGTCTGCCAAGGCTTTGGCAACCCGCATTCTGAGAGGAACTCCTCAGACAGCTGCTATGAGAAGAGGGTTGGATCTGGAACCTGAGATACTGAGGCAATATTCTGATTTTTGTGATGTCTCTCTGAAACAATGCGGGGTCATCATCCACCCTGATTCACCTCACCTTGCAGCCAGCCCGGATGCTAAAGTCTTCTGCCCAACAGAAGCACCACCATTTGGTCTTGCTGAGGTTAAGAGTTGCGATGTTGAAAATGTTACCCAAGTTAAACACCTGATCACAGTTAAAGGCCAGGCCTGCCTTAAGAAGAGCCACAAATACTACTATCAGGTTCAAGGCCAACTCGCCTTAAGCGGACTTCAGTGGTGTGACTTCATTACAGATACCCGCACTGACTTCACAGTTGAGAGAATCTTTAGGGATGAGGAGATTATCCACTCAATGCGACAGAAGCTTGATCATTTCTATTATAACATCTACATGGATGTCTTCTTAAGTTATAAAACATAAGGCAGAATTTTATGTGTAAATAGTGTTAAGGTAAATGTGGAAGGTGAACCTTTGACATTTTTTTCTTTAACTGCAAATTAACTTGTCATATACTGTATATCTCCTATGTACTGAAACACACATTTTGAAAAGGATTGTGATGTAAATGTCGACATGTTTTTCTTTAACTGCAAATGAACTTAATTGTGTTATATACTGTATATCTATGTATTGAAATACAAATTTTGAAAAGGATTGCGATGTTGTAAATGCTCTTACCAAAATCAAAAAGGATTGGAAGCAGTTGCTTGCAAACATATATTTAATAGTTCCATCAGTGCCATGACACATAAGCACATAACATGGTTAATAGTTGGATATTTTTACAATATATCACATTAGGTTCATTAATAGCTATGAAAAAGTTATTACCCTTAACAAAAACATACAGTATAACATTAGATCAATTAAATTACCAACAAAGTTAATTCATATTTACATTTTTTTGTACATACAATACAGTAATATAAAAGTACTTCTATTTACAGCCCATCTAGCTTACTCAGGAAATATACAACTTCCAGTTGACAAAAACATCAGACTGGTTTGTCTCCTTTAATGTCAAGAGGTCCCTGATAGTTCGACATGAGGCAGCAGATGGCCCACAGCTGATTCACTGAACCCACTGTGGAAAGAGGAACAAGCCCATCCCAGATATGGTACTCCTTCACCCTCCGTATGGCCCTCTCGACTAAAATCCTCAGCCGGGCGATGGCCTGTTCTGTTTGTTGTTTGAACAAAATGGTACACTGCAATAGCATCTTCTCGAAGATTGTGACATGCTTCGGTGTTGGATGGGATACTGTTGCGATACAGACACCGGGAGAAAAGAAACAGCTAAATTAACATTCAGCTTTGACCAGGAATCAATATTTATCTAGCTATCATGCACAACAGTATTTGAATAGGTGAGTTACTATACATTCATGAATAAACTAACTGCCTAACAAAGGGTTAGATAGCTAGCTAAGTAAACTTGTTACATTACAGCCAGGCAGCAATGTAACGCTACCTTTTAACGTTATCGGTATCTGGTACTAAGTTGTTGTTAGCTAACGTTAGCCCACTTTTAAGTAACTAAGGCAGTGAACAATTATGAATTAACAATAACGTTAGCAAGTTACAAACCATTGCATATACGTAAACATTATTACTCGTTGAGAAGTCTCAGGTTACGGGCGAACGGAAGTGAAGTTAACCTGCTACGCGGAAAGGCGGAAGTTAGATGACGTCATCTTGAAAAGGGCCTATTCTAAGATTTTAATCTGTAACCAAATGATTGTAATAAAGTTAAGCATATTAACTCATTATTAATGGTTGCTTGCTACCCAAATCTTCAAACCTGAGGTATTACACTTGACTTGAGTCAAATGTAAGTAAAACTAGAAATTGTAAATTTTCGAAGAAAATGTGTGGGCTTGCTATAGTCTACAAAAGTGAATAGGAGCAAACACGCATCTCACACACCAAGTATCCATCCATGAGTGTTCTGGTCTCCCTGCCTGGCCCTGTAGTAGAGACATCTACTCCAGAGGTACTTGCTTAAGTCACAACAACTGATGAGCGGTTTGGGCAATATGGCAGAACTCTCATGTCCTGTGACTGGATCCCTCAGTACAGGCTCTGAAAAACATTGTCACATTGGCTGCCACCCAGAGCCATAGAGGCCTACAAAGATGTAGTGGGCGAAAGCAAAGATAAACTCTGTGGGGAAAGAGTTGCTTCTGTTCTACTCAGGCTGTTGCCATAGTAACAGCTGAGCTTGTCAACAACAGGTGGGTTTTGTTTTAGCATAGACATTAATGGTAGCTAGCAAGCTATCAAAGGGATTCTAGCTAGCTGATGAGATAAAATGGCTGAGAAAAGTGGATTGGAGAAACTGGACTTTGGTGCATTAAGCATCAACAGCAACTCCGACAATTTAAGGTAAGTTAGCTAGCTAACACTTTAGCTAGGTAACGTTAGCTCCATGAGTGCTACTTGGCTTTTCCAACATGTAGTTACGCTAGCTAGCGAACGTTAACGTTAGTTCTATCGATATAATTAGGAATTATAATACAATAGGATCTCTTGTTCTATCACTCACTGCATTATTTTTGCATTCAGCCAGCTAACAGTTAGCTAGGGGAAATTCCTTGGTTAAAGATAGGCTCAGCAATATGACAACATCACGTGGGGTAACTTTATTTAAATCTGCTATTGCCATTGCATACCTGGCTTTTCCCAATATCATGAGACATGGGAAAGAGTACAATGGACAGTAAAGTTACTGGACATTCACCTTTATATTTCTCCTGGGACAAGCAAAGCCAGCAATGTATATTACAAATAGACCTTGAAGAATGACGTTAGGTTGTATGTCAAATAACATGGACATTCTGATTTTCCACTCTTTTTTCAGTCTTGACAGATTATAATTGGCCCTTTCTACCCTCTGTGATAATGAAGTATGCTGAGCCATTAGCTATTTTAAATTTTTTGTATAGATCGGAACGAGAATCAACAATGAAAAATATTTGAGAGAGCATCTAGAGGTGGAGGCCTTAATAAGTGACTTTTTAAGGTTTGTTAATTGGCTGGCACTGGTTGACGGTAAATATTCAGACATATTATTCTCCTTCTCCATGAGGGCTCTCAAGCACTCTAGCTCCAGAAATTAATAACAAATACAATTCTGTTTCATATTTAGCTACAGTAATGAAGTCTAACTGGCCAGTTGCTTGGGTACCTGCTTCTTGTTTTTTTACAGAGATGTATTTCTCAAAAGACCCACAGACATTCGAGAGTTCGCAGCAGGTGGGTTCAGCCAACACAAACTGACACGCACACAAAGATACAAACAGACAGGGACAGTCCTCTACTTTGAACTACCAATAATGAACATAATATTTTCTCTCTTTCAGATTACTTTACCAACCCAAACCTTTGTATGATCATTGGCTCCAAACTGCAGGGCGGTCCTGCCGACACAGGCACAGACTGAATCCTTAACGGATTGTTTGGCAGTTCAACTGTTATTGAAGTGTAAAACTGTAACAAGCCTCTTTCTCTGTGTCCTGCACATCCTCTGTATTGACTAGTTATTTGTGTCAAAGTAACATTATATAAAGTAGGAATGTACTGGCATCCAGGCAGAGTTTCTTAACAAGCATCATTACTACAGGTTAGTTACAGGGCTACAGATAGAAGACTTCTAGGCCTATAGGGTGGAGTGGACAGCCTCTTTACAGGAGTTTTCTCCGCGAAAAGTCTAAACGGGATCATTGGGACGTTCCAACTCTGACGTTACCCCATTGAAGTTGAAATTTAAAACAGTTAAGGTTAGATGAGAGTATGGGTTAAGGTTAGTGACGTCCCAAGGATCCCGAATAGCACTAACCATTTTCTCAGGCCTTAGAGTACCCCCTTCTGGACTCTTACGTACTTCCATTCACTCTCCAACTCATCAGATGAAACAAAAAAACATTAAGCAAGATGAGAAAATGTGACCGCAGCAAAACTGACCACAACTTTAGAATGATCTGACCACACTGGATACACAGTTTAAATGTTTATTGAATCAAAAATGATCAAGTATCCAGCGCAGTAAAAACAGGTCAAATCCATCTGTCACAAAGCATGACAAAATCATTCATAATTCTGTTTGATTCACATTTTAAAATCAGACACACTACAAAAATAGGCACATCTGGTTTAACAATTAAGTGATTGCACAGAGAAGACCCTGAAATTGTATAAAAACCTAGACCCTGACAATATTGGACATTTCAACAGTAGACCTACATAGTACATTCTGTAACCAACATACTGTGGTAGAGCATGTTAATAGAGCTTTTAAATCCTGAGCGAACAGGCACAAATCATCAATGTTTAGACAAATCAATGTTAAAAGGTCAAATATATTTCCTTTTTATATATAAAAGATTGTCAGTAACTTACATTGTTTGATTTCTGTTCAGGCAATTGATTGTCCCTCTCTTATGGCTTGTATTGGGCTCCAGGAATCCAGAATTGTATCTCAGACACAGATCTAGGATCAGATTACATGATGTAAAATCTTAAACATAATCCTTAGGGAGTAAAACACACAACTGACCTTACACCAGTGTCTATAGGCAACGTCATCCTACTGCCTTTAGCTCAGAGTAGTGTACTACTAGTCAACGGACCCCAGAACCCATCTACATTACACAGTATGATGGCGCTGTCAATACACACTGATCTATTCCAAGGTCAGTGTTGCGTTATCCCCCTAATGGTAATCGTAAGGATTCAGAGAGGGTAAGCTGGCCCTGGATCTGTGCCTTTTAAACAATCTCACACACATACTGTACACATGGGACTTTAACACACATGTGAAGGAGTTTCAACCAACCGTGGTACAAATTAGTGTTCTTTTATGTTGTGTCTGACTTACACAGCATTTTAACGGTAAAGCGGATCCCCTTTTTAAAAAACATGATTCCCGTTATTAGAACCTAAAACATACACTCACTTTAGTTCACAAAGTAAAAGTCTAAATTGGAGATACTGATTGAACGGCAATGACTACAACCAGCATACACTGCGGCCCTCCCACAGACATCTAGTGTGTGATGTTCTTCATGTACAAACAGGTTTAGTCCCACACACACTTCCAATTTCTCCCGTTTTCACACAAACATGGCCTGGGACACAAAGCTGTTTCCACGAGTCGTTCCGGCAGCAGGGGGGTGGTCCTCCTCGTTGTCATGGTAATCATTGGCCTTGTACTGGTTGGGGGCGTACAGGGGCGGGACTTTGTTCAGCCTGGGCTCATCCCAGCCAGAGGGGGCGGCAGCGTAGTACAACTCCTCCGCATCACGATTGTATTCCTCATCACTGTAAGCATCCAGGTCCTGGTGGGAAAGATAAACATCTTAATAATCATATAAAAATCAGGAGAACCAATGCAGTCTTCTAGTGACCCTTGCATTAGCCAACAAGCTGCGACAGTGCAACACCCTTTGAGAGTCTTGAACCCAGGTCTTCTAGCCCATGGGCAAACATGCTAACCACTGCTCCAAAAGGGTTCAATCAAGGGGGGAAATTGTAACTAGCTTACCTAAGCAATGGTTGCTACAGTATTAAAAATACATGTTTCTATCTATAGCATGTTCAGTGTAACAGCTATGCACATAGCAGCCCTCCATACCCTTCATTTTCCCTACACGTTATCATGTTTGTGTACTGTTAAATAGGGGCAATCATGTTGAGTAACTGATTAATTAATGATCATAAGTAGATGTTAAATTATTAATTTATTAATTTATTTTGTTTCATGAATCCTTTACCAGGATGTATTATGAATTATATAGACAATGAACTAAGAGTTCAAAGCCAAATCTACAGAGCTCATTTGATGCATCTCAGTAGTCTAAAATGGCTTCTTCTCCCTGTCTCTATTCGCTCCATCTTTACTGATCTAAAAACACAGGCCAGGTGGAAGCAATATCATGGAGGCCAGCTTTCACCTGTCCAGGTCTTTTTATGTCTGAAGATTGAAGAAAGGAGTCAGGAGAGGAGGACTATTGAGAGATGCACCCCATGTATGGCTGTGTTCTTACCGTGCTGGGCTCAGCATTCTGGGGAGCGTAGTACAGGTGGTCCACGGGTCCATCCTCGCTCTCCACAGGGTCTCGACTGGTGTTCAGCTGCAGATGCAGACACACACACACATGATTATTCTCATCTACTCTGAGCTAGGGTAAAACATATTTCAGATGGACGCTTTCCTAATCAGCATAATATTTTAATCATTTAGCAATGTTGATAAAAACATGTTGTGGTGTTGTAAAAGACAAATTGAGGGGCCATATAGAGATATATAAACGTCTCCCATCACAGCAAGCCTAAAACAGTTATGGCTGGCCACCATCACTCACCCTATCAGTAGAGCTGCTGGTGGTCTGCTGCTTCTTAGGGGGAGGGGGCTTGTGCTTGGGTGGACCACTGAGAAAGCGAGAGAAAGGAAGGACTCAAACAAACAGTACGGATGATCACTTAGTATGAGTGACAGACAGACAAACACTCACTCTCCATTGTTCTGGTTGCGTTTTTTGCGGACCATGACCACAACACTGCCAATAATGGCCAGCAGCAGAACCACCCCAATGATCCCTCCTATAATACCGCCTGTAGCAGGACCCTTCACTGGCTTTTGTGTACCTACAGAGAGAGAGAGAGAGAGAGAGACAGGGAGAGAGAGAGAGACACAGGGAGAGAGAGAGAGACACACACAGGGAGAGAGAGACACACACAGGGAGAGAGAGAGAGAGAGACAGGGAGAGAGGGAGAGAGTGAGACACAGGGAGAGAGAGAGAGAGAGAGAGAGAGAGACAGGGAGAGAGAGAGAGAGAGAGAGACACAGAGAGAGAGAGAGAGACACAGGGAGAGAGAGAGAGACACAGGGAGAGAGAGAGACACACACAGGGAAAGAGAGAGAGAGAGAGAGAGAGAGAGAAAGAGAGAGAGACAGGGAGAGAGAGAAAGAGACAGGGAGAGAGTGAGAGAGAGAGAGTGAGTGAGAGACAGGGAGAGAGAGAGAGAGACAGGGAGAGAGAGACACAGAGAGAGAGACACACACACAAGGAGAGAGAGGGACACAGAGAGAGAGAGAGAGAGAGGGGAGAGATGAGAGAAAATAAGGTAGATGATAGAAAATGTGAGATGGGAAGGAAGCGAAAGAATAGAATGGAGGTAAAAGGGGATAAGTACAAAGAGAGAGAGAAAAGAAGAGAAGAGAGAACATTAACAACAGTGTAGTGATAACATTCACATGCTGGAGTAGTCCCAAATGCACTGGAATAACCCTACAGTGCATTTCATTACACAACATCGTTTCATTTGCGGTGAAAGGTTCTGAAAGCGGAATTAAGAATATAATCCCCAAGTAATGAAGTAGGCCTACTAACTACAGTCAATGGTGTGTGTGAGACAGAGGTGCAAAGAAACTGTGTGTGTGGATGAGAGAGGTATAGAGAAAGTGTATGCGTGTGTGTGAGAGCTAGCCGAGATGCAGAGAAAGTGTGAGTCTGCCTTTACAGAAGAAAGGTCTACATTAGTGTAGACTACATCACATGGGGAGGCAGACAATCAGACAATGACTGTAGTACCTCCCTCTAATGAACCATGACCACTAGGACCAGTACTAACAATAGGATTATACACAAGACAGGAGTACATACACACACGGTGTGACCCATCTCATTATCCTCCCCATCATTGCCTAGGGGATTATGCTAATGAGGGAGTGTTAAAGGGCAACGAGGAGCTCAGCTAATTGGAGGAGAGTTACACAGGGAAAGTAATTGGTTGGCCCGATTGAATGTTGTTAGGCTTATAATTATGACTGTGGTACTGATGATCTTATAGCAATGCTCTGTAATGTAAACAATTGAGCATCCAATGACCTTTTCACATGCAAATAGCAGTTGTTTTCAATTAGACCGCATGTAAATAAAATACAAACGCTTTGGTTTCCCAGTAAAACTATATGAATGGTCAATAATAAATGATAATTTCATAAAATGATCTCAGAGTAGTTTACCCTGACATTTATAAAGACATTATTGTTCAGAACATGTCATGTTTAATGTGTGTAGTTTAATAGGTCTTGTGAGACAGAAAGATTTACACCACAGCAGTCGTCCAGTTATAGGATTTAGAAGGGAGTGTAACTAGGTGATTACTATGGTGTAATACATCTTGTTGTCCACATGGCGGTGCTGTGTCTCCATAACACAGGCTCTGAAGTACTAATTATATTCACTACCTCTGTTCTGTCCTTTCTTTGCTCTTCATCTCTCCCATGGTCGTCTACTACAGTATGCATCTAGCTATATCCATGCTCCCTTTTCTTCTATGGTGCTTTTTGCTCCATCCTAACTCCACCATCCCTCTCATTTGTTATCCCTCACTTGCCCCCCAATCCCCCCTTCCCTGATACATGTGCAAATATTGTAC